AACCCGTATCCCCTGCATCGGCAGGCGGACTCTCAACCACTGCGCCACCAGGGAAGCCCCGTGCTCAGCTTTTGATGCGTTCGTAAACAAGTGCTATTCTTTGATGCAAGGCAGCTTAGAGCAGTGTGTGTGTGTGTGTGTGTGTGTGTGTGTGTGCGCGCGCGCGCGCGCGCGCGCACGCGTGCGTACTGCTCACACGGCCCTACCTTCCACGCGGTCGCCTGCGGAAGGTGCAGGGACGCGAGGTGATGACCCGCGCGGCCGCCGGGAGAGGGAAGCGGGCCAGGCTGGCAGGGTGGCTGCGAAAGTCTCCAGCTCTTGTTTCCGGAGCGCCTTCCTCCACGTGGAGAGGCCCCGCTTCGGGAACAGGGAGTCGGGGGTGGAGCGAGCCTGGACCCTCAGCCCCGGCGCGCACACGCCCCCCGCCCGGCGCCCGCCTTCCCTCCCTCCCCCGGGCAGGGGGCTCCACCGCCAAAGTCCAGGCCCCCAGGAGGCCCGCGCGCCCCTCACCCCTGCGGCCCAGCTGCCGGGGGAGAAAACAGTCCCTCAGGCCCCCGTGGGCGTCTGCGAGGATGGGGGGGCCGGGGGCCCACGCAGGGCAGGGGTGATTCGGGCCGACTGAGGACCCTGGGTGAGAAGCCCCTTCCGCGTGGCTGCACACATGTGCGCACGCGCGTGTGACAGACGGGGCCGCGCGGAGCTGAGAGCGCGGCCGGCTTCCCTCCAACTCCGCGGCCGGCTTCCTGACTCGCCCAGAGGCAAACATCCTGACTTTTGTAATAACCATTCCTTCCTCCACATTCCTGAAACATGGAGTCTGCATTTTGCCGGTTTTTCATCTTCTTGGAGATGGATTCACAGGGCGTTCTTTTCTGACTTGCGTCTTTCACTGCACCTCACGCTTTCAAGGTTCACCAGAGTCGTGTGTTGCTGTAGGCGCCCGTCCTCGCAGCTTCCTCATCCGTCCTACTGTTGGTAAAACATCTGGGCTGTCCTCATTTCCACCGTAAACGACTGCAGAGCCGCGGCCTGGCGCGTCCTCCACTGGGAGCCGATGTCTGCACCCTTGTCGCTGTCCCCAGCTGGCGCGGACCCGGGGCTTCCTATTAGTTCTAAACCATCCTTGCGTTCATTTGACTGCTACTGAGAGCAAATCAACTCAGTTCACTGAGATACTCACCAGTCGCCCGCCCACCCCTCCTGGTGGCAGAGCTGGGGGGCGTGGGGGGGCGGGGCGGGGCATGGGCACCAGGAGGAAACACTGAACACAAGGCCCGTGGTGGTGCTGCCCAGAACCACCAAGAAACGACTGCTGGTCCGCAGGGTCCTGCCGCCTCTCTCCCTCCGCGCCATGTCTTGGGCAGGAAGGGCATATTCCCGCACCCAAGGCTCCCAAGCCTCGGGAGCGCCGTGAAAGGCAGCCACGCAGGGGCTGCAGACCCTCCCTCAGTCCTGGCCCCCAGGTCAACATTCCAACAGCCTCGAGTTTCCATTCCACCACCAAACTGGGAAGGATGCGGACCCGGAAGCCGGCCTGGGCCTGCGACGGTGTTTGCCTTGACTGTCCTCTCCCAAAACTGTGTTCAGTACTTTCAGAGCTGACTTCCAAAGATTTCAAAATACCCATGCAGTGAGCCACCCAGAGTAGTTAATTTTTGATTTGTAAGCATCGTGAGCGCTAACAGTGACCCGACTAATCAAAGCGTTAGAGGGCTTCTCCATCACCCGACGCCCTCACATTGGAGAGGACCTGCACGTCCTTCACTCCTGCTTCATCCACGGAGGGCGGTCAGTTTTTGACCAGCTGCTATTCATTAGCTGAACACATTAGAAAAGAGAAAAAGTTTTAAGATTTCCTCTTCCTAACTGCTTCTTTCTGCCCTATTTGAATTTTCTGAGGCAGATTTCTCTAAGCTTGAGTTTTTACCCAGAAGCTAAATCCAAAGAAAAGAAATGGCCATGAGAAATTCAGCCAAGATGCTCACTGATTAGGCTTCCATGTCACTGAGGCAAATGCCCGGGTTCATCCCTGCTGCGCTCAGCACAGAACTAAAGCTTCACGTTCGGGATATTCTGAAGATCAAGTTGTGCTGTGAGCTCCGCTCCACCCAGAGCCTTAGTGCCACCTGTGGCCTAGATGTTAACATTATCAATAATAACTAAATAAATCCCTGCTATGGCATAAAAGGCGGGTCAAGCGCTTGAGATGAATGGATCTGGTGACGACTCCTTGGATAGAGACAAGACCCCCGCAGCAGTTTGAGGACTGAAACCCCCTCATTCCAGTGGGTGCCTGGGGGGGGGGGGGGGGGGTCAGTATAGCTATCAGTGCTTCCTCTATCTCTTGGTAAAATTCTCAAGTCACACGTACAAGGAAAAGCCCCAAGTGGTTAAAAGTTTCCTAAATCTCAGACAGAGCAAAATGAACACTATGATCACTACTAGTTCAAAAGGTGGTTTGCATCATGTCCTAAAAAACCACTGGGTGAGGAGAGTCCAGCCAGAGTGGGCAGGAGCCCCTTCACTGAACACCTCCTGCCTCAACTCACCTCCTTTAGCTAAAGTCTAAGACTCTCCACAATCCACCAACACACACCCACGGCCTGGGCATACACTTTGCACCTGGCGTGCTCACAGGAGGTTCCCAGACTGCCGCCCACAAGCAAGGTGCAAACTTCAAGTGCAATGAAAGGTCTGGGATGTACCACTCAGGGTCCCACCAGAGAGTCAGAACCGCTCAGCTATAGATACGCAGAGATTTATGCCAAAGAATCGGCGTGTGGACACCGGCACATCTGAGATCCAGGGCGGGAGCCGCTGGTGGAAACCTTAGCTCTGCCCTTAAGGCTGTTCAACTGACTGGATGAATTTTGCCCAGATTATTGAGAATAATCTCCTTACTCAAGTCAACTGACTGTAGCTGCTAATCGCCATCTATAAAACACCTTCAGAGAAACACGGGCAAAGCCTGTGTGTGACTGAATGACCGGCCCTCTGGCCCAGCCCAGCCGATCCTCGCAGGGGACGGAGTGGAAGTTCAAAGCATGATCCTCACCCTCGGGCATCCTGGGTCTGGCACTTTGTGAGCAGGGAGAGGGGAATGGGAAGACACCACTAAAATAAGGACCGTGGTGCTCGGCCTGTCCTTAGGGGGGACGCGAAAGAAGGGGGAGGCGGCGGGGGTCTTGCGTAGCTCAGGAATGCAAAATCTGCTGGAGGAAGAGCCATGGGACTGTTTCCGCTGATGACCAGCTGCCCAGAAATATTCCTCCTGGTCACCCCCTCCTCATATTTTCTTGTTCGATGCACATATTTTTGGCATATGGCCTCACAGTCACTTGCTTTTCTCGCGTTTCTCACGCCATCTTTCCTTGTCGGGTTCTTTTTTTACTATTTCCCAGCTTTTGATCTTCTGCTTTTGTTTTGCTCTACTTTTCACCACACCTGGTCCTGAATTTTCAAGTTTCTCTTGTGCAAACACTTCTCCACCTTGGCCGGCACTGTCACCACGAGGAACAGACCTGCCTCCCAGGAATCTGGACGAGGCTATATACAAGTTCCCCCAACCAGAGCTGTGCAGGCTTCAATCCAATGTCTTCACTGAGACAAAAAAAGTTTTAGTGTGTCAGATGACGAAATGCAAATCCAAGGGCGTGAAGGAAGCCTGCGCTGGTCCAGCGTCACCGACCTGCCGTCAGAGGCCCAGGAGAAGGGGTTACAGAGAAAGAGGCCACCTCAGGCTTAGCCCCCGATCCCCGGAGACGTTCAGTGCCAAGACAGACGCCAGTCACCCCGGTGCAGAGATAGTCAAGCCCAAGTTGGGGCACTGGACTCTTCAGAAAGTCCATCCCTGCAGCCTTTATGAACAAACGGTACAGAGTAATAATGTAGTTACTGATCGTGGAGTTTAAACCAAGGACTATCACGATGATGAGGGGTCAGGTTTTTCTCACAAGAAACCAGCTAGAACCATGAGTTAGTTCCTTCCACTCACGTACGCTTGCATGCCTTTGTTTCCTACACTCTCTCTAAGCACTGCATCTCCCACACGCAATATGAAAACTGGCTCCGGAGCAAGTGACGAAGCCCTGATTCACCCGTCCCCACCCACACTTCCTTCCAGGAAAAGGTGAGGCAAGGACAGGACTCTCATAGGTGAAAAAGGGGAGGCTGCTAAGTGCTGCCCCGCTGTCACCCAGAGGCTGTCGGGTCTGTGAGCCGCTCAGCACCCCGTGTTTTCCTGGAAGCGGGGCGGGGCCATTCCTGCGGGATGACACAGGCAAGCCGTGCGACCCTGAAGAGCTGACTGAACACATTTAGCTGATGCAACAGGACACTGACTCATACGCATCACACCCCCGCATCCAGCGCCTCAAGGGGACGCGGGGCAAGGAGACGAGAGCTCGCGGTGGATGGTCCCGGCCAGGCCGCTGGGAAGTGAGGGGCAGGTGGGGCCGCATCCTCGGCAGGCGTCCGGCCCGACGGGGTGATC